CTCCTGATTAAATGCTGTTGTGGGGTGTCACTGAGTCCATTTCTGCACATATGGACCCCATATAACACACTGAAACTGCCCTATAGGGCAGTGATCTTTACTGGAGGAAACTGCGAAGACTTTCTCCCACAGAGCCTCTGGCTGGGTTCAAACCACCAACCTTGCAGTTACCAGCTGAGCACTTAACCACTGTACCATAAAAACTCTCAGAATTATAGATCAGTGTAATGCAAAATATATTTCCATGTATTTTGATAGCAGAGGAAGGGAAGGGAGGGAAAATAGATAATTAAGAGACAGATTTCCAATGTCATCTAGGGATTAATTTAGGGCTAGTTGGGGCTTGCATGCTGACATGGGTTGTTGTTATGTACCATCAAGTCGAACCGACTCACAGCGACCCCTCCTTGGGTTTCCAAGGCAATATCACTACAGAAGTAGATTGGCCCATTCCTTCCGAGGAGTGGCTGGTGGATTTGAACCGCCAGCCTTCTGGTTAGCAGTCAAGCGCCTTAGGCACTATGCTACCAGAGCCCCCCTGACATTGGTAGGGGGAAGGATATACGGGAAGGATATACGACCACCATGATAACATTGAGAAATGAGAGGACACCAAACTGTGCACTTAAGATATAGACGATAGATTCTAAAACCAACCAGTGTGTCCACAATACCACATTGCCATAAACACCAAACACTAGGCTACACAGATAAACACATAAACACCTGAGATTATCAGACGGGATCACTGAACAGAGGTATACTCTAGACCAAGGATAGATTCAGCTGAGGCTAATCTTGCACAGACACCAGTGATACAAAATACCTTCAGTCCTTACAGAAACAATAGAAAACAGACACAGAGTAATCTCTCACAGACACCCAGACACTATGGGAGAGAGAGCCAATAGAGCTACTACCTCAGGACCATAGTACTGGGGGCACCAGACTCAGTTGGCACAACAAGATACATAAAAGCCTTGCTCCACATCCTACATTGGTGAGTAGCGACTGGGGTCTTAAAAGCTTTCAAGCAGCCATCTAAGATGCAGCTAATGGTCTCCTAGCGTCAGAAGTGAAGAACAACACACACACACACACACACACAAAACAATGGCATTTGGAAGCAATCAGCCCTAGGACACGATGGCCCTCGAGACCAGAAGAACCAGATGGTGCCTGGCTACCAATGCCAATCACTCAGGAAAGGATCGAATCTGCAGATCCTGGACAGAGTGGGAGGGAAAACGTGGAACAAGATCCAAAAACTCAAAAATGAGCAGAAGTACTGGTCAGATGGAGTCTGGTGAGACTCCCAATACTATGCCCCTGGAATACATTCTGCACCTGGAATAAAACTCACCCCCAGGGGCAGGCTCTCAGCCCAATAGTTAACAAGATGTACACGCGGACCACTCAACCCACGATGCTGCACCCACATATTCTATGGTAGTATATCCCTTAGAGCAATAGACCACGGGGCACCAGAGGACCAACATTCAAACTGAGGAAATGCAGGTCACACAGGAGGCATAACTATGAGGGGCACAGGGGGAGGGTCACGGGGTAGGGAGGGGAGGAGACTGGGTTAGGGCTGGACATGGCGAATGGGGAATGAAGCTAAATGTACCCCTTATGTTGAATGTAAAACAAAAATAAAAAAAAGAGACAGGTTGATATGTGTGAAGGGATTTAAAAAAGAAAAAAAGATTAGCTATTAGTTGATAGTTTTTGAAGCCAGGTTATGGGCACATGGAGGTTCATTGTACCAGGCTGACTTTGTTTGAAATATTTTATAATGAAAAAAATAAATTTAAAAAAATACATATTTCTAATCTATGTCTACCAGTGTGAGTCATCTCGTTATATAAGTCTATATGACCCTTTTTTACGAATTAAAAAGTACAGACATTTTTCTGGGTTCTAGACCCAGCTCAAGGAACTCTGGTGGCACAGTGGTTAAAGCATTCGGCTTCTAACCAAAAGGCTGCACATTCGACCCACCACCCTTCCATGGAAGAAAGATGAGGTTGTTGGCTTGTGTAAAGACAGCCTTCGAGACCCTCTGGTGCAGTTCCACTCTGTCCTCTAGGGGCGCTGTGAGTCAGAATCGACTCCACAGCAGTGGGTGTGGTTTGGGCTTTGCTCCTGTGAAGATTGACAGCCTTGGAAACCCTGTGGGGCAGTTCCACTCTGTCCTCTAGGGGCGCTGTGAGTCGAAATTGACTCAACAGCAGTGGATTTGGTTTTGGTTTAGACCCAGCTCTGTCATTAAGCCATGATATTTGGGGTGACTCATTTCCCACACTGAACTAGTTTCCTCATCTGAAAAGCTAATTATAGAACCACCACATGCTGAATCAAGGTCCGTTTCCAAAGCCATTTGGTTTCCCTGACATCATCTTCACATTCCCTCTATAAATTGTTGTTGTTATGTGCCGTCAAGTTGGACCCGACTCATAGCGACCCCTCCTTGGGTTTCCGAGGCAGTGTCACTACGGAAGTAGATTGCCCAACCTTCCTTCCGAGGAGTGGCTGGTGGGTTTGAACCGCCAAGGCTACAGTGAAAAGGGGACTCTTCCACTCTTCCTTGTGATTTGACAAGCTTATCTCCTGGGGATGGCTGTGGACCAGTGAGCTAAGCTACCTTAGTGTACTATACAATGTGTAAATCTCCATTCAACGCAACAAGCTGGGTGACCCGGGAAAAGTCACCACTCTCTCTCTCTCTGGCTCTCTCTCTCTCTCTCTCAGTTCCCTTATCTGTAAAATGAGGAGCTTGACTACATGACCTTGAATCTCTGACCTTCCATTTATGACTCTCCCAATCCCGTGATTCTTTGCACTATAGCGCTGTAGAGGCTGACCCTCCCTTGACGCTGTCATTGACGAATCAAGACAGGTGTTGGTAAGGTTCTCTAGCTCTTTGTCTTCTTCTCATGCTCCATCCCTTCACTCTTCTCTCTCCTCCTCCTGCTCCTGCTGCTGTTGCTATTGGGTGCCTGTAGATTCTCCATGTGACAGAGTAGAACTGTTCTGTCTAGATTTCTGGGCTGTGATCTGTATCATTCAAGCCCATCTCCATAAAGATTTCAGCCTTGGAAACCCTCTGAAGCAGTTCCACTCTGTCCTCTAGGGGCGCTGTGACTCACAGTCCAAGGCATTACAGTGGGTTTGGTTTGGGCTTTGCTTCTGTGAAGACTGACAGCCTTGGAAACCCTGTGGGGCAGTTCCACTCTGTCCTCTAGGGGCGCTGTG